AGCTCCCCAGATGATTTTGTTTTATTTGAGCACTCCCTGACACCTAGAAGTCTCTCTGAACATCCTTATAGTATAACTCCACCAATCATTCAGCCACACACATACATTTCGACATGCCCTCTACCAGCCTACAACTCTTCACATATACAAGTCCCATTACTAAACCACAATGGCACACAGTCACTAAGTTTCTGAGGACCCAGTTTGCATTTGTCATCTCCGTGTTCTAGAAGAAGTGGTGCATCAGATTATTGATGCCAATGCCATAAAACTGGTGGCACCCCATTTTGCTGAGACCACCCAGGATGATGGTAAGGTGCTGCCTTGTGAACCTCTTCCACTCACAGCTCAATCTCATCCTTCAGTTGCCATGAAATCCAAACTGCAAAAGTGGTGACTGTGGAAATCTAGTTTTCTTCCTCACCCTCACCTCTACCCTTCCCTAATGTGCTTGAGCTTTGGGACAGTCAACAGCAATCAACTGGTCAGCCACGGCAGCTTCAGGAGAAAGGACATGAGAACAAGAGTATCAGGGGAACCAACATCCTGTGGTGCTCAGATGCAGACACTATAACTACCTTGAAATCTAATTGTGACTCTGGGTTTGCATGTGAAGAGTCACCAAGCATGCAGCGGCTGCAGCCAGGACCACTTGGATGGTCAATTCACGTACAAATTCCTCAGAACTTTGTGCATAAGAAAAGATCAGGTAGGTTGTAACAAATTAATATTCAGCCCTTATATGGTTAATTATGTCTTTAGTTTGTCGGTTTGCTAGTCTTAAAAATACATATAGTATTTTACATTTATTACAGCAAAGGATGTCAATGCAGTGGAGCAGGGTTTTACTTCTGCTTTTGCTATCCAATGTCAGTCTTTAGGAGTTCCAAGTCAAGCACAATGAGAAGCAGATACACATTCTCCTGTCTTTTCAAATAATTTGCTGGAAGTTTCATGGAATCCCTACAGCAGGCCATTCAGCACCTTGAGTCCACACCAATCCTCTGAAGGGCATCCCAACCAGATCCGCCCCATCTCTGTAACCCTGCATATCCCATGACCAATCCAATCAGCATGCACCTCCCTGGACGTTATGGGCAATTTAGCATGGCCAATCCATCTAACCTGCACATCTTCGGACTGTAGGGGGAAACCAGAGCAGCCGGAAGAAACCCATGCAGACATGGGGAGAATGTACAAACTCTACACAGACAGTCACCCAAGGATGGATTCAAACCCGGGTCCCTGGCACTGTCAGGCAACAGTGCTAACCACTGAGCCACCATGCTGCCCGCAATAATTACTACTGGCTCTATTTGTAGATGAACATGTTTAAAATTCACGTCAGGAAAGATTTGGATTTATATTACCTTTCATGACTATAGGATGTCCCAGGCACTTTACAATGCATATAGTGACTGTTATAATGTTCAAAGCTGATGGTTGAGGTAGAATCCTGACACCAATTCTCCTTTCTAGTCTTTTAAAAATAAACCAAAGAATGGTTTAAACAGCCCTTAGTGGGGCACTGCAATAAAAAAAAGAAACTTTTGAAGGAAACTTACGAAAATCAAACTAAAATGTCATTTCCAGAGGAATCCTCCTTTCTATACTGAGTATATACTCTTTTTGGTTAACATTGGGTGAAAGGATAAATTATTAATGAGTCTTAACAAAAAGAGGCACTGTCTTAACAAGCTGTCAATTATGGCAAGCTAGCAATTAAGTTATAAACAAAAACAGAAATTGCTGGAAAAGCTGAGCGGGTCTGGCAGCATCTGTGAAGAGAAATCAGAATTAATGTTTTGGGTCCAGTGACACTTCCTCAGAACAGTGTTCCTCCACAGATGATGCGAGACCTGCTGAGCTTTTCCAACATTTTCTGTTTTTGTTTCTGATTACCAGCATCTGCAGTTCTTTCAGTTTTTGTTTAGCAGTTCAAGTTATATTGGTTAATTAGACAACTAAGACGATCAGGAGACTTTGATGACACATCCATCTCCATCAGAATCTCTAGACTCCTCTCTCCCCACACAAGACAATATGGCATCATCAGCTCAGATGGAACTTAATACAGGTCTCCAACATTAGCCCTTTCAGAACCATTACCTTTATATGACAAAAATGCGGCAGCCAGTTTGTATACAGCAAACTTCCACAGACAGCAATATAATAATGGGTAGATAATCTTGTGATGTTTGGAGGATAAATTTGGCCAGGACCACCCTACTCCTCTGTGAAATAATATAGTGGGATCTTTTCCATTCACCTCACACAGCACATGGGGCCTCAGTTAATGTCTCAAATGGCAGAGGGCATCAGCAGTAATACAGCACTCACTCAGTACTGTCTTGCTCAAGGTGCATGATGAAGACAAAATTATAACATAACCATGATAACTCTCGACTTTTTAAAACTTGACCTTTCTCTGAAAATTGATGGTGAGAAAAAGCAGAAATAAAAGTAAACTCGTAAGGAAAGTCTTTAACATTTGAAAACATAAGAGGTATAACACCGCCCAGGACAAAGCAGGACAAGTGACCCACAGCTGACACTGTATTAATGTTACGCTGTCAACAATTTAAACAGAATATTAAATCAAAATAAAAATGTATAATACTGCTGTTAAAATTGTAGTGAAGCTTCATAAATTTAACATTGATTTGTTAAGATCACCAGCAGTTATTTCATAAATAAAATATTTTACTCCAGAATGTGGAATCCCAACCAGTGCAGCTGTTCTTCATTTGCAATTCAAAGCACTTTTAAGAACAAGGAAAATAAACAATTTAGTCTAATTTGTAATAACTCTTCATACAATGAGCCATGTTCATGAGGATTCAGGCTCAGTTACTATGTGCTAATTCAAAAAAGGAGGATCCCAATTGCTGAAATGGAGGCTTCAAACTCAGGGTCCTGACGGCAGGCAGCGAATGGGCTAAAAAACTGCACTGGTCAGTCTAACTGTGCTTTACGCATAATATAATGTTAATTTAAATCCATTTTCCTATTATACAATCAACACAAGTGGAGTGTTCCCCATGACCATAAAATATCTTGGAATTTAAATAACTTCGTGAATTTAAACAGCCAAGTTAGAATAAGTTATTACTATCATTTATGTTTCATAATGTTGGCACAGAACACACAGCGTTTGATTAATCTTATCAGATCATAGATCTTTGTACACAGCTTGATTGCTTTAGTCTGCAGATAGAGCTTGTCAGTGAAGTGATGGATTCCTGATTCTCACAGAGAAAATTCTACAAAGAAACTAGACATGTTGCTTTTAGCTATGTCTATATGTACATTAAAAGTTCTTTAAAGAGATAGTAGGAACTGCCGATGCGAGAGGATCTGAGATAACAAGTTGTGGAGCTGGATGAACACAGCAGGCCAAGCAGCATCAGAGGAGCATGAAAGCTGACGTTTCGGGTCTGGATCCTTCTTCAGAAATGTGGGAGGGGAAGGGGGCTCTGAAATAAATAGAGAGAGGGGGAGGCAATGATAGAAGGTGGATAGAGGAGCAGATAGGTGGAGAGAAGACGGACAGGTCAAGGAGGCAGGGGTGAAACCAGTACGGGTAAGTGTAGGTAGGGAGTTGGGATGGGGGTTGGTCAGTGAGGTGGGAGGAGCGAATAGGTGGGAGAAAATACGGACAGGTCAAGGAGGTGGGGACGAGATGGGCTGGTCTTGGGATGAGGTTGGGGGTGGGGAGATTTTGAAGCTTATAAAGTCCACATTTAGACCATTGGGCCGCAGGGTTCCCAGGCGGAATATGAGGTGCTGTTCCTCCAGCCTTCGGGTGGCATCGTTGTGGCACTGGAGGAGGCCCAGGATGGACATGTCGTCCAAGGAGTGGGAGGGGGAGTTGAAGTGGTTTGCGACTGGGAGGTGTTGTTGTTTGTCACGAACCGAGCATAGGTGTTCCACAAAGTGATCTCCAAGCCTCCGCTTGGTTTCCCCGATGTAAAGAAGGCCACATCGGGAACAGCGGATACAATATACCACATTAGCGGATGTGCAGATGAACATCTGTTTAATGTGGAAGGTTTTCTTGGAGCCTGGGATGGAGGTGAGGGGAGAGGTATAGGGGCAGGTGTAGCACCTCCTGTGGCTGCAGGGAACAGTGCCGGGGGTGGTGGGACTAGTGGGGAGTGTGAGCGGACGAGGGAGTCGTGGAGAGAGCTGTCCCTCCAGAAGGCAGATAAGGGTGGGGAGGGAAATATATCCTTTGTAGTGCGGTCAGATTGCAGGTGGCGGAAGTGGCGGAGAATGATGCGTTGAGTCCAGAGGTTGATGGGGTGATACATGAGGTCAAAGGGAATTTTGTCTTTGTTGTTATTGCGGGGAGGGGCTGTGAGGGCTGAGGTGCAGGAAATGCAAGAGATGCGGTCGAGGGCGTTTTCGACCACGGTGGAGGGGAAATTGCGGTCCTCGAAAAACGAGGACATCTGGGATGTCCGGGAGTGAAAGTTCTGTAAAGTTGTTTTAAGTCATGTAAATAAATTGTCTTAATTTAGAGTTGAATTAAATTAGTTTTATTATCACATGCACTCGAGAGTGCTGTGAAAAGTTAGCAATGTTGCCATTTACAGTGCCATTTTGAGTACAAGATATCTAGGCACAGATACTTAAGTATTTGGTCTAAAACAGAAAAAATAATCATAATAACATTCAAAACAAGCATCTCTGCATTACGCTGAAATAAATAAGATGTACAGCAATTCAATCCAAACTCAACATAATGCACATCACAGTGCATTATTGTGATTGCTGTGAATTATACAAACTTATCCTATACCTTTGTGCTATTTTCGCCTTTGTTACATGGGATAGCAATAAGAGACAGGCAATTGTCTCCAGTGCGTATATTAATCGATTGAAGGAAATATAGTTTTATACCATAGTTATATCAGAAAGGTTATTTCTTGGGCAACACCACAGTATCCATATATTCGAACTTATTAGCAAATCAATACTTTGCATTAAGTACCAACCTGAATATCCTCCAAACTTGGTCGCATCACAACGTTTGGAATTGCCAATACAATTTGAGATTTGAAGAATGGAGCTTTTGTTGCCTCCGAACCTCCACCAGGATATAACTTTGCTGCGTCATATCTAGAGCTAGTAACCTGTAAATGCCTCTTGATAGCATCCAAGGATAACTTGGTACCTGCACACACATTGACAAAATGTCACTCTACAGATCAAAGGATAGAAACAACATGGTGGCTGGTTCTAAACCAATACAGAAATTGCTGGAGAAACTCAGCAGGTCTGGCAACATGTGTGGAGTGAGACACAGAGTTAATGTTTCAGATGGGTGACCCTTCATCAGAACACTGGAGTCGAAACATTTACTCTGCTTTTTCTCTACAGATGCTGCAAGACCTGCCAGCTGAATTTCTACAGCAGTTTCTGTTTTCATTTCATATCTTCAAAATCTGCAGTTCTTTGTTTGGTTTTCATGGTTGATTTTGCTGTGCCATGCACCAGGTCTGCAACAAAGAGAGTTTTCACAATTGGTAGAACAGGCCCAATGTCAGTTTCCACCGGATACAGTCCACACACTAACAGTGCCGGATTGCTGATATCTACTTTATGCCTCAGTATCTAGATGTTGTGCAAATTCATTTAAATGAGCACATAGAATAACTTTGATAACACAGTGTGGAGCTGGAGGAACACAGCAGGCCAAGCAGCATCAGAGGAGCAGGAAAGTTGACGTTTCGGGTCCAGACCC